TAGATCTAAGCTTGCTGACACCAAAACCCCTTATTAGATAAAGACAGCAACAAAGTCATGAACCCTTAAATGATTAGTCAGAAATTTGCCCAGTTCTATGCCCAACTGTATAATCTACAGACAGGCCAAGACCACCGAACGCATACCCCAATGGCCCACGACATAAATAATTTCCAAGAATCTATTCGCCTACCCAGACTTACCCCTACACAACAACAGTCCATCCTCAAACCTATATCATTGCAAGAGGTGCTCGACACCATAGACCATCTGCCCACTGGCAAATCACCAGGCGTCGATGACCTTTCAAACCATTTAGAGACGACTTAGCACCCCACCTCCTTAAGGTATTTCAAGAAGTGACTGCAAAAGGACATGCTCCTTGCAACCATTGTCACCATACCCAAACCAGACAAAAACTGCAGTCCTATCTCGCTGCTTAACTCAGATGCAAAAATTAATGGCAAAATCTAAGCACAGAGAATAGGGACACTACTTCCTTCCTTGGTCCAAGATGATCAAACTGGGTTTGTGATGTGCGACAGGGTCTGAACAATACCCGTAAACTATCATTGGTAGTGAGCGAGATCAGGGGGGATTGGCAGAAGTGGACTCTTGCTTGACTTAGATGCGGAAAAAGCATTTGACTGCTTCAACTGGATGTCATCGCCCAAATCTTTGCACTTTACTCCAACCCAACAGTACAGGTCAAACAAACTGGTCCTTGCCCTTCCCAGTTACTAGTGGAACGAGACAGGGGGTCTTCTCTTTGTACTCGTGCTCGAAACCCAAATTTCAAGCTATTCGAGACAACCCAAACATAAAAGGTGTGCTGTTGCCTGGGAGGGAGGTAAAGATTAGTGCATTCGCAGACAACAGCCTCATTACTCAACCTCAAGAATCCCTACCTGTTCTGATGTCCCTAATAGAGGAATATGGCAAAGTATCTGTAGCGGGACCTGGGTAACCCGGCTGGTTACTCCCTTTCAATCATCATAAGTCAGACCCATTTCCCCCAGTAAGTGGACAGCACACAGTTCCAGGATACAATATTTGACAATCTTTATTTGGGTACACAGCTTTTTATGCACAGACCCCGCAGGGAAGATAGTAACAGGATACAGGGACACACATGAATACACATTACGTACAGGGGGTGAGCTTTGGGGCTCAGCACCTTGGGACAGGAAGGGGGAACAGGGTGAAAACTTAGACTGTGAATAGCCCTGGGTCCCACCTAGGATCCCTGAAAAAAGAGAGGCGATTGGATGTACAAAGCCCGAGATATCAGCATCGAAAGTCTGGGGCTCGAGACTGTACATCCTCGAAATTAGTTCCATGGTGTTGCTTGGTTTAGTCCGGCGAATTCAAACTTCGCGCCTAAACCAAGCAACAACCAATCAGCTGAAAGGGCACGAACCAAATCATTCCAATCAGCATTCAGGGGAGGAAGGAGTTTTGCCGCCCAGTCCGAAGAAAGGTAGCACCCGATAGCACCAATCCGCTGAAAGGCACAAAACCTATTTGCGCCAATCAGTGCCCAGGGACGAGAGGGGTTTCACCGCCCAATCAGAAGAAAGGGCGTGAAACCCCACTTAAACGGGTGCTCCTGCTCTGATTAGTTACCGGTGTCAGTGCTCAGTTGTGCCGAACATCAAAAGGAATGGCGCGAACCCAGTTTGAATGGGCGCTCCTTCTCCCATTGGTTAGCACGGGCTTTCACACAGTCAGCAGAGGCCTGCAGCTGTGAGACCAACTCACAACTCTAGAGGTTCCTCGCTGGAGTGCATCCCTCTCTCCAGTGGATACCCACACTCAAGTATCCGCCGGAAAGAGCGTTTGCCTGGGCAGCTACAAGACTAGCCTCGTAGCTCCCAGGTTTGAGAGTGACAAGTGATTATAGCTCCGTTAGATGCAGGTACGATGATTCCTGACACAGGGATTGAAGACAGTGCATGCAGTCTGTTTTCACACCTTGTTAGTGAGGTGTGAACATTCTAAGTAAATGATCTAAATGGAGTGCCGGGGTGGTCTGGCACACGTGGCTCCGTGCGCCGGAGCGCCCCGGAGTGGTTAAAAAAGGTATTTTGACGGCTTTACGGTCAAAATTACAGAAAGGGGAAAATTAAAAAGGGGGAACACAAATTCTAGGAGGGCACATCCACACATAGAAATAGGGCAATTCATAGGTAGGTAGCGGTCCCAACACAGTATATAAATATTCTCTCAATACCACCAATACGCAGGCCATGGGCATAGGGCTGTCTCACCTTTCACTGAACTCCCTGCGAAACAACTTCTCCTTTGAGATGGAGTAAGGACTCCATCAAATATTTAGGCCTGACAATAACGAAAAATTCTACAGACTTCTACTCGGCCAATGACATCTCCACTTGGAATAAATGCCGCTCTCTGTTGCACAAATGGTAACCCTTATTTCTGTCCTGGTCCGAGCGCATAATAATGGTGAAAATGTCGATACTCTCCAGGCTTCAATATTTATTCCAGACACTCCCAATTGAACTACCCCTGAAGTACCTCAAAACGACCCAAGCGGAACTTATCAAATTGATCTGGGTGGGAGGCAGATCCAGAGTAGCAAGGAGCCTCATGCAAGCCCCCGTAAAAATTGGCAGATTGGCAGTCCCTAACATACAGACCGACTACCATGCTTCCATTTTGGCGACCTCTATACCCCACTTCCTCACCCACCCAAACCCCTAATGGGTCTCCTTTGAAAATAAACTCTTGCACCCAACAGACCATTCTACTCTGATGTACTCTACCTTAACCCCTTAGTGACCAGGCTTTACTTCGCTCTTTCCCCCATCAAACCTTGTTAAGTGGCCTGGGATATGGGGGACACATGGAGATCCGATAACCCTTGATTATGCAGCTATGTAACCTTATAATTCTCCTATAAAACCCAAGTCAGGTGAATACATTCCTGGTATACCTGTACTAAACCCATACCTGCCATCAGGGTCGCCACCAGAAATTTTGGGGCCCCCTAACTCAGCTCAGGGTCTGGGCCCCCTGAGGCCCGCCTTCAAATACCGCCCACTGGGCCCGCCTCCAAATACTGCCCACATGAATACACACACAATGATACAAAAGGACACAGATACATACTAACAGACACACATACTGAAACAGACATACATGCATGCATGAGGACATAAAGACACACACATACCTCATAATGGCATACATTTATAATGTCATACAGACATCCATACACACACACGTTCATAATGATATGCAGACATACATAGACCTACAGACACACATATAGACATGCATACAGACACACACACACAGCTCATTTTCCAGCCACCCTCCTGTCTCTTACCTTTTCTTTGCAGGAGGGTGGCTGGGGATTATGGGAGTCACTGGCGCGCGTGCTCCTCCCGCGCGGAGTGAGCTGGGAGGAAGTGACCACTTCCTCCCAGCAGCACTTGCAGCTGCTTTTTTTTTTTTTAAAGGGGCCCGGTCGCACTATACCACGGCGCTGACCGGGCCCCTGAAGATATATGGCCCATCGGGGGGCCCTAAGTGTGTGGGTTATGGTTGTCCGTTATGGTTGTCACCCCCTGATGGCGGCCCTGCCTGCCATGCCTCGACTGAACTCCTTGCTAAAAGGCCAAATATTAACAGAGTACTGTCTAATATCTGGGCTTCCACTTTAAGTACTTAACCCTATTGGTCTCATCTAATGATGATCCCAATAGAGAAATAGGATGGATAACTGATGATGCACCATATGCAGACACACACTACCCACACACTTAACCGAAGGTATCCACACACACCCACTTCCCAGTAGCGGGATCTCCAATCCACAGCGCAAGTCCAAGATTCACACACACCAGTACCACATATCTATAGCTTACCTCTGGAGTTAAGTAGACACCTGGATGTTCAGGTTCGCCGTGTTTGGCCGAACATCGGCAAAAAGTTAGAGTTCGGCCTCAAACACGAACCCCATACTTTTGGGCACTAAAATAGCTCTAAAACAAAAGTCCTGGAAAGGGCTAGAGGGCTGCAAAAGTAAAATGGGGGTAAGAGTAGGACAAGTGCTCTGCAAACAATTGGGGTAGCCCCCAAAATCTTGGGACATATAAAAAAAAAAAAGAAAAGAATAAGTGCACTTAAGTATAACAATGGCTGCGTAAGGCCGGTATAAATGTCTATTCTGCACAAGGTACAGACAAGTCTGGTGGGATCCATGCCTGGTTCATTTTAATAAACGTGAGCTTGTCCACGTTGGCTGTGGACAGGCAGCTGCGCTAGTCTGTGATAACGCCCTTTGCCATGCTAAACACATGTTCAGACAATACACTGGCTGCAGGGCAGGCCAGCACCTCCAAAGCATAAAGGGCAAGCTCAGGCCATGTGCCCAATTTGGAGACCCAGAAGTTGAATGGGGCAGACCCATCAATCAGTACGGGTAGGCGTGTGCACACATACTGTTCCACCATGTTGCTGATATGCTGCCTCCTGCTAAGACGTTCCATATCAGCTGGTGGTGCTGGTTTTTGTGGCGTGCTGACAAAGCTTTTCCACATTTCGGCCATGCTAACCCTGCCTTTGTTTTGGATCAAAGAAAACTTTGATTATTTGTCTATCTACACCTTCCAAATTGATTAATTAATGCGTGCACGCTTTCCCTAGAAGTAATTCACACCGGAGACAAAGTTTCTGATCAGTGAAAAACCCAGGAATGCTTTATTCCCCGGAGTGGGGGCTCCTTCTTAAAGCAAAAATACGTCACAGTTTAAACATACAGTATACATTCACCAATTGGTTAACAGAGAAAGGGGGCTCTTGTTTAAACCCCCCTACAGAATGGAGCCTTTTAAGGTGCCATTCATGCCATTCATGCCATTCATGTAGTGTCATCATTACACACTTTTGGATACACGATGGGAGGGGGAGTGAGTGGTATCTATCAGTTCTAAACCAATGATCCTCCATTTAGCTATATATGGCATATAGCTGTTAACTGGCACAAAGGTAGTGGGGGAGGGGAGGCTAGCAGGATGTGAGGAATTTACATAGTAAACAGCAGCTGACCACATTGTAGGGGGGGGAGGGAATATTTACTCTAGAAGCCAGATTTAACATAGTGAACAGAGAATAAATAGACATTAGTAAATAGCCATTTTATTTTAATTCATCTGTCCATAACAGTCCCCCCTTAAAATGGCAATTTTTACTAAAACTACTATCTCTCATTCTAATACTGTCCCTATAGAAAAATAACAAAAGGCTATCTTGCACATCTGTCTGAACAGGCCTCGAACACTTCACTGCGCGGGTACCCCATAGCAGCTTGTCCACTACTTCTCCCGCGGCAGACTTCTGCCCGTAGAGACAGACGCTATCCCTAAATGTCCTTAAGAGGAAGTAGCTGTTGATTTAGTGCGGTGGGACTGTAAGGGTGTATGTGGTGTATCACGGTCGATATCGTCAATCTCTTGGTGAAGGAAGGTCGGGGTGGTCTGGTCGATTGCCTGATCAACTGTCTTTTGTAGGCATTTCTTAAGACAGGGTAACACACAACAAACAAGAAGAGCGAGGATGATTATCGTTATTAAAATGGCAACACCTATTTGGGCCAGAGCACCTTGCCATTCAGACATCCATCCAAACCATCTTTCCCATGGATCTGTGGCCCCAGAATTTCGTTTCAGTTCATTGGACAAACTCTTTAACTTTTCTATTGCCAACGTTACCTTACCATTAGGGCCTGTATTATCTGGAATATAGGTACAGCATGTCATGGTGTCTGGGAGTATTTTACATACTCTCCCTTTTTCTGCTAAAATCATTTCCAAGCTTATTCTATTCTGGAAGGTCATCTGAGAGATAGTTTGTAACCGCCCTATCCCACCATATATCCCATAACAAGTATAGTTCCCGGGCTATATAGTAATGCCTTCGTCTGGGTTAATATTTTTAGTAATGATTGGGTATTAAGTTTCCATGACTCGCATGCTGACCGCTTAGGTTTAAATACAGTGTAGAGACTTAAAACGCATACTTCATATCTGGAGGAAGGTTCAGGGATACTGTACCTGGGTGAGGCCTCGCTCCTCTGCAGACATAGCAGTTAGACTTGTTATGTTTAGTAGCATTGTATTTCATCCATTCAAGTCACAAGTTAGTGTCAGAGAAACCTGTCTCTACAGCCCTCTTATCCTCAAATATGGGATGACTACCATGTCTTTTAAAGTCCTAATGTGTGGTTTGAGGGGATTAACAGTCATGTGCGTGGCACCTACCCATTCAGCTGAGTCATACATGTCCTGTAAGAAAAAGGTCTCCTGTTTATTGTATAAACCTCTTCCCTTCCAATTCAGATTTTATTAGCCGTAATGCTTGGGAGAATAGATTCAAACTTAGTTTCTTACCTTAAAATTATTTGGTACCCCCCTTGACACCCCTATGGCATTAATATACATATATATATATGTGTGGGTAAAACCACCCTTTATAGGGGTACTCCTTTTTGTCCTGAAGCATGAATGAGGTGTGTCAAGAGTACCTTGGGGATTGTCATGTGTTATGTGTATGGACATAATAACCTAGGCTAGGGCACATTTACTTATTCTTAGAAATCTTGTCTCATGCTACCCTAGTACTGGCAGATTCAGATCATTTAAACATTCAATATTAATATCACCACAAACTCAAGATAAGCAGATGATCTTGAAGAAGCTTTGACTGTGCGTATGGCACCTCAGACGTGAGGGCTGCAGGGTAAGGAGTATGTTTGTTTCTCTTTAGTTTCACGAGGTCCCCTTTTGGGGTATTCAGCTTTCCATCGATGGCAGGTGGTCAGGCATTATTATGGCCATCAAAACACCCACTTGTTGATATTTATTTATTTATTTTCAACAAGTATCTTTGTTCTCTAAGAATGGAGTTTCAAAAAGGGTTGTCAAGATCAACAAATGTTACTTCACATGATGCAGAGGCAGGCTTGATTCTGGAATGATGAACCCACGGGGTGATCTCTGTATCTTTCACGGTGCACTACTCAGCATGTGGTCTTGGTTATCACTTTGGTGGCTGGATAGGCCTCTGGCCATCCTGAAAACATGTCTGCTATAATTAGTGCATATTTGAATCAGCCATTCTTTGGCATTCTGGCGACTTGACTCCTCTGGAAGAGATAATGAGGTTTGGCTAGATGCTTGGGGCTTTCATCCATTCTTCTTGAGTTGCCCTTGGCACAAATGGCACAAGATTTACAGTAACTGTTGGTCAGAGATTCAATTCCTGGTACTTCAGAGTATTTATTGATCAAAAGAGTTCATGAGGGTTCTGGACAGATGCTCCGTAGGCCCACTGGACCACTGCTGAGTATATGTTCTTGGGCAAGTATAACTTGAGATTGTTGAAGTACAGCCTGTCTTTAAGAGTTGCCCCTTTCTGTTTCCAGCTTGTGGTTTGTTTGTTTTTTTCTTTCTTTCCAGGGTCAGTAGCTTGCTTGTTATTCCTTCGGGAGCTTGATGTCTGTGGGTAGGATCTTACATGGTGAATATGGGAGTTTCTTCAGCAGACACTTTTCTGTCCACTTCCCTTAGTGCACTTACAACTTTTTGAACAACTTAGTCAGCCAGAGAGCTGCCACATGCTTCCTCTGAGTTCAGTCTTCCTTCAGAGATCTTGCATGGTGTGATGGGAGTCTATAGCTCAGCTTCTTGTGCAGACATTGTTGAGGTGAGATACTTGGTCCACTGTAGTGACAGCAAATCCGGAACAGAACATAAGAAAAAGGCTAAAAAAAAATAATAGTCAGTGTCTTATCATTTCCCCCCTTGGGAAGTGGCAGAAGAGTGGCCAGGTAAATAGAGTATCATCCCTGCAGGGTGACATTATCCTGCACAGAATTCGTCCATCACAAGGAGAGGTGGGATATTGCATGGAAAGTCTCAGGTAACCAGGGCAACATTCGACACCAGAGCCTTAACCTGTTAGGGAATAGTAAGAGCTTGGACAGGCTTTGGGGCCTGTATAATTCAGGTAAAGGTATTGGGGGAACTAGCTAGGACCCTTGCCTCTTGGTCAGGTTTCACTGTGTGGAACAAAATGAATAATAAGGTGATAGGGGCCTGCAAGTGGGGGAAGGACATCTGCACCTAGCAGATTAATTGGACAGGTGAAGGTAACCACAAAGCAAGGCTTAGTTAACAGGCTACTCCAAGGAGAGCCATCTACACTTATGCAGGAGACAACAATGTTAGACAGGAATGAGGAGTCAGGCAGGCCTTGCTTGGTACAAATAGATGTCATGTGGCCTGCTATACAAGGCTGCATATAGTTATTGGGCATGGGCCTTACTATGTACTAAAACTTAAGTTAAAAGAAAATTTGGGACAACCTGAAGTGATGCTTCTCCACAGATGCTAACTCATCGTTGATGACATTGTTAATACAGGTAGCCTGATCAGCCAATTTATCTTAGGCTTAAACAAGTCACACCATGTAGTGGAATGGGTCATTAGGATTCGGGAAATTCTACAGTAAAAGGGCATAGTAAGGATGTACGCGATGTTACTTTAGGAGTAGGCGTGGCTGTGGATAGGGGGAAATCAGCCTTATCCATTCCCATATATTATTCCTTTTGTCTTCAGTATATCCAAACCATGTGTATGTCCAGGCGTTGCAATATACAGTAATCCATTATCAGTCATGATATTAAAATCTCATTCTCATTAATTAAATCAAAGATTTTAAATCAACCTCAGAAGTAACAACATTGTTTTTACCTTCTGTAAAATGATTGGAGTTACTGTATAATTGCATACACCCAATATAACATACATTGCATGTTCCTCACTGCTACATTAGTGTATTTCATTCTGCCATATTTGCAAACTTGATGTACATTTTTATTTTAATTAATTAACCTAATACTTTCTTAAAATACATATAAAACAATGAAAAAAACAGTTCAGACTAACATTTCATTAAAACAAACTAACATAGAACTCTATTCTTGGCTGTTCTTAATTCTGGAATCAGCCTGTGTACCTCTGTTGGCAGACATATCCATGCTCATTCCCTAAACTGATCATATCTCTTGAAGTTATCTGATTCTTATAACTTTCTGTGTTACGCTGCATTGCTTGTCTGTCTCCTAATTTCGATTTAGCTAAAATTGCTTTTATTTGTCTGATTATAAGTTTACAAGGAAAGGCTTTTAATTGATTTATCTCCACATGTATTTTCTCTGTCAAAATTTTCAATCAACAAATTTAATTTCTCATTTGCTTTTGATTTGATATCTCGGATAAAATATCTGCAAGATCTTAAATAATGTTGTTTATTGCACCAAAAACAAATAACTTTAGGAGTTATATTCTGCCCTATATTATCAACTGCCCTATATTTAGTTGAATAAATTGGGAGGGGCTCAGCTGTCTGTATCACTCTACACTCTGTCCTAGAAGAAGAAGAAGAAGAAGAAGAAGGAGGAGGGGGACGGGGGCTGTAACATCTGCACTTCTTTCTCTGCCTAAAGCCACAAGTCGTTTTAACCCCTTCATTCTTGGTTTCCCTCCTTAAGTTATCCAAGAACAAAGCTACTTCTGTCAAAGTGCTTTTTTCTCTAGCTACCACAATTGCAGTTGGATCTAGATCTTGAAATTTTTTCACAAATTCATTAATTAACTGATCTTCAGAAAAATCAGCAACAAGTCTATATGCATTTTCAAATTTTACAAGAAAACTAAATATATCCTCCCCCTTGAGTGGTTTTAGTTTTTCCAACATTTCAGTGTCTGCAAAATCATTCCCTGTTGTTAATTTTATTAATTGTGTTAATCTGTCTCGCTTATTTCCATATATTATTTTATCATTGTCCTGAAATTTTACAAGCGTGGTCAGTCTACATGCCATTTGAGTCGGCAGCCATATTTTAAACAATCTATTCCTTTGTTCGTCATTTAGGCTGTATTTGTCCACATTTGACTCAAACATTCCAGCATTAGTAAATGCATCCACTGACGTGTCATAAACTGGAATACATTTCACAATTTTCATTAATTGTTCATGTATTTTCAAATTAAGTTTTGCAGCTCTGTCTTGAAATTTATATTTCTGCAAATCACTCTGTGAGGATACATTTTCAGTATCTATTGGTTCTGGGATTAGATTCTGTGTCTGTATTTTTCTTGTATTAACACACACTTGCTTAACTTCATTTCTAAGCTGGCAAATAAGATCATTTCTTAGTTCAACTCTATCCTCTAATTCACAAACTGTTTCTGACAATGTGCTCTCTGTTACATTGTTACACTGTTCATTTAAATCTGATTTGTCTTCTGTTAACCCATTCAAATCTACTTCTTTTTCTGCTGATTCTAAATTTTCTTTACCTGTATTTCGTTTACAAATCAATGCATTGTAAGTACAGACTAGTTTCATAACATTTCTGATCTTTTTTTTTTTTTTTTTCTTATTAACAAACAATTTCTTGTCAATTTCACTATTGGCAATTTCACATTGTGTGTATAAAGATTGCCACAAAACAGCATCTGAATAGCTGCTATTAAATGCAAACTGCAATTTACTTTTCTCTGCGATATTCATTTATAAATTCCACAATTCATTTGTTCCAACAAAATCTAACTTTCCTTATTCCAACATGCCAATAACCTCTTGCTTAACAACATATACAAGATTACACAAAGTTCCTAACTAGGTTATTCGTCCAGCAAATATACCTTGTTTCCCTCACATTCCTCACTGAGTTTACAAGCATTTCACCCATTCACCCCACCCCCCTGTAGCCAATACTCATAGCAGTCAGAGCAAGAGAAAGCAACAAAGAAGGAGGGGGGAGGAGGAGACTTGCAAGCACAAAGTTTTTTAACCATGTGATTGCCTAAGCACAGCTCTCCTTAGGACAAAAGATAGAATAGGAGAGTAACGATACAAATTGTATAGATTACAATTAACATATATGGTACCCAACAAGACATACACAGACAAAAGCACAAAATACAGATGTAATTAAATCACAAAGTTCTTAAAATAAATGCCGGCTTATAATAACTCAAATCACACACACAGAAACACTCAAGCACATAAACCGCTCCTTTACCAAATTATATTTTTAACTCTTGACCGAGTCCCTCAATAACTTCTCTACCGAAGTTTTAGTTAAAATACATTTTTTTATTTTTTTATTATTATTTTTTTTTTTTTTAATTATTTTATTTATTTATTTATTTATTTATTTATTTATTTTTTAAACTCTTGACCGAGTCTCGCAATAACTTCTTTACCGAAGCTTAGCTAAAATAAATATAGAGCCAGGGGTTTTCCACCAAACCCGAACTTGGCTAAACCTGCAAGTGCTTAACCACACTTGGCAGCATTATATAACAGTATTAAGCAAGTAGTAAAACAGATTCTCAAACAGACACTTTCACACATAAAACTCACACTCAGGACTCAGGCTGTAGATAGACAAGTGACAGGTTCTATATAAAAGGGGACATTCAGGCATATATATATTACCTGTCTGAAGACGTTAAACACCGGAAGCCGAATGTGAAGGCACGGAGAACAAGAGAAATCCAAAGAAAGGAAAATATAGGTAAGTAACTCATTTACCATATGCAGAGGTGATCAGGCTCCGTTTCCAATCTCTGGGAATCCTTTGCTCTCCTGTCTTGGGATCTGACGGCTGCCTTAGTAACGTATCCCTTAAATGCCCGCATTCTCCACCAAATTGTTTTGGATCAAAGAAAACTTTGATTATTTGTCTATCTACACCTTCCAAATTGATTAATTAATGCGTGCACGCTTTCCCTAGAAGTAATTCACACCGGAGACAAAGTTTCTGATCAGTGAAAAACCCAGGAATGCTTTATTCCCCGGAGTGGGGGCTCCTTCTTAAAGCAAAAATACGTCACAGTTTAAACATACAGTATACATTCACCAATTGGTTGACAGAGAAAGGGGGCTCTTGTTTAAACCCCCCTACAGAATGGCGCCTTTTAAGGTGCCATTCATGCCATTCATGTAGTGTCATCATTACACACTTTTGGATACACGATGGGAGGGGGAGTGAGTGGTATCTATCAGTTCTAAACCAATGATCCTCCATTTAGCTATATATGGCATATAGCTGTTAACTGGCACAAAGGTAGTGGGGGGGGGGAGGCTAGCAGGATGTGAGGAATTTACATAGTAAACAGCAGCTGACCACATTGTAGGGGGGGAAGGGAATATTTACTCTAGAAGCCAGTTTTAACATAGTGAACAGAGAATAAATAGACATTAGTAAATAGCCATTTTATTTTAATTCATCTGTCCATAACACCTTCTGAGGTGCTGGCGGTGACCCAGGTGCATTGGCCTTTGCCTTGCTTCCAGTGCTTCCACTGAGCCCCCAGTGTCAGTTGGGAATGCCCTCAGCAGCGCGTCTACCAGCGTGCGCTTGTAGTCGTGCATCTTCCGATCACACACCAGTGAATTAAAGGACTGCACGTTGTCCTTGTAACTGGGATTGAGCAGGGTAGCCACCCAGTAATCAGAACAAGTTAGAATGTGGGCAACTCAGCAGTCGTTGCGCAGGCACTTTGTTGACTCTAGATAACCTTGCGCCGATCACACGCCCCCGTGACGGCGCATTCGGATGTCTGCCCTATCAACTTTTGATGGTACTTTCTGCGCCTACCATGGTGACCACAGGTAACGGGGAATCAGAATTCAATTCCAGAGCCTGAGAAACGGCTACCGCATCCAAGGAAGGCAGCAGGCGCTCAAATTACCCACTCCCGACGTGGGGAGGTAGTGACAAAAAAAAAAATTAATACAGGACACTTTTGAGGCCCTCTAATTGGAATGAGTACACTTTAAATCCTTTAACGAGGATCAATTGGAGGGCAAGTCTGGTGCAGAGCAACTGACCCGTGCGTTTGCAGCTGAAACTCCACTATCGCCTGTTGCTTGCACAGTCTTTCCAGCATGTACAAGGTGGAGTTCCACCTTGTGGCCACGTCGCATATGAGGCAGTGATCGGGAAGGCCGAAGTTACGCTGCAGCGCAGACAGGCGAGCAGCAGCATGTTGAGAACACCGAAAGCGCGCACAGATGGCCCGCACTTTCTACAGCAGCTCTGATATATCTGGGTAGTTTTTCAGGAATTTCTGCCCCACCAAATTCAGCAAGTGTCAGGCAAGGGATGTGCATCAAACCGGCTAGGCCCAGAGTACTACAAGAATTCGCCCATTATCGCACACCCCCAGGCTGGGCTTGAGGCTCAGTAGCAACAACCACACATCGGTCTGTTGTTCCATGCCCGTCCACAGCTCCTGCGCAGTGTGGGGTTTTTCCCCCCAAACATATGAGTTTTAAAACAGCCTGCTGTCGTTTCCCCCTGTTTGTGCTGAAGGTTGTGGTGAAGGTGTTACGCTGACCAGATGAGAAGGTGGTAGCAGGACAAGGAAGCAGAGTAGGAGGAGGCAACAGGAGGTAAAAAGAAATGCCCTGCTGTAACGGCACCCCCCAGGCATAAAAGGGTTAAACTGCCATTTAGTAGATCTTCCCTTCCAGAGACACAGGCACAGCTACTGCAGAACACCAATCCGCCGAACAGGAAACCATCCGAATGCTGTAAACAGCCGAATAGGAAAAACCATATGAATAGGTTTACACTCCTAGCAGTCAAACTGGAACAGCATACAATAAATCCCCCCAAGAACGAGACAAAGCTCCATGTTGAGGGTCAAGCAGTGAACAGTCAGAGCTGTGGGTTTATTGTGCTTATGTACACATTAGTACCACCCACAGGGTTTTGGAACACAACCAATAAACACATACAACACACTCAGACACTCCCACACAAAATCCTCCCCTCTGCCTGTGATACAATAAGAAGCTCAGTTGTAGAGAGATTGAGCTTTAGAAAGCGGGATGACTTCCAGTCAGAGATAGAAGAAGGGCAAGCAGTGACGTGCTCAGGGCCGGACTGGGGATACAAAGCAGCCCTTGAAAAAAAAAATCGATGCCAGCCCCATAAGTCATTATGCCTCTCCAAGGCGATCTATTGATAAAAATTACATTTATATTAATTTATATATATAAATTATTGGTATTTTTCTTTTTCTAATATAAAATATTAGTCCTTTCAGGGTAATTAAATTATACAGTAAAAAATACTCACATGCAG